CTTCCCAGCATCCCCGCTGGGTCTTTGCCACAGATGGCCCAGCTCCAGGTTAGACAAGGTCCCTTCCTTCATGTTCCTTCCAGGCTAGCCTGCCAGGGGCCCAGATGACTCCTGTTTCTGTCTAGGACATTGAGGAAAGTCTGCATTTGTTGAGCATTTACAGTGCCAGGTGTTTCACCACGACCTGTGGAGGCAGGGACTGTTTTACTGACATTCTTCAGATGGTAAATAGGCAAGTGGGAATTCCCTGGTGGTCCAGTGGTTAGGACTCATGCTTTCACTGCAGAGGGCCCGGGTTTGATCCATGGTCAGGTAACTAGGATCCTGCAAGCTGCACAGTCGGCCAAATTAAAAAAAAAAAAAAAAAAGGGCTCCCCCGTGGCACAATCGTTAAGAATCCACCTGCCAATGCAGGGGTCACGGGTTCGAGCCCTGGTCTGGGAAGATCCCACATGCCGCAGAGCAACTAAGCCCGTGTGCCACAACTACTGAGCCTGTGCTCTAGAGCTCGCGAGCCACAACTACTGAAGCCCGCGTGCCTAGCTAGAGCCCATGCTCCACAACAAGAGAAGCCACTGCAATGAGAAGCCCACGCACTGCAATGAAGAATAGCCCCCGCTCACCACAACTAAAAGAAAGCCCGCGCGCAGCAACGAGGACCCAACGCAGCCATAGATAAATAAAAAATAATAAATAAATAAATAAATAAATAAATTTAAACAAACAAACAAAAGGCAGACTGGTTGAGTTCCTTCATCACACTTAGAAAGTGAAGTGCTGGGATTCAAATCCAGATCCCTACTGTGCCAGGGCAGGTGTGGCCAGAAGTGCCACCCACTAGTTGACTCCATGACACTGCATCCAATCCTATCACCTCTCCTCTGTCAGTGACAGTTTCCTCTCTGTCTCATGCATCATTCATTTCCCCCTTTTAACTGATCATTTACATCAGTGCCGAAACCTGCTCCATTCCTGAGGCCACTTTCCCTCCAGCTATCACTGCTCCCTTTAGTCCCAGGGGCAATGCAGGCACTGCCATCCTGTCCCCAACCTCCTAGGAATACTTCTGATGTCACCCTCTCCTCGTGTTCCTCCTACTTCATGGGCCCTTTCTTGTTATATCTTTCTGGTTCCCTCCTCTTGTTCCATCTGTGACTTTTGAGCCTTAGGGGTCCCAGGGCATGGTCCTGGGGCTCTTCTCCCTGCTCTATGCTCACTGCCTTGGTCTCCATGCTAACAGCTTGAGCCAGAATTTTCCCTTGAACTACAGTCCCACTCATCTTAGCCTGGATACCCTGGAAAACAGAATCTGTGGCAAAGTTAAAGAGTTTTATTGGGAGGTGAAACTTTGGGGAAGCCAGAGTTAGGGAAAAAGGAAAGTGAGGCAGGGAAGGAGGGAGAGCAAACATGGACGGCGTGCTCCTGAGCTGACCACAGCTTTGCTGGCTCCCAGCGCACAGGTGACTCAGGAAAGGCCAGAGACAAGCCCTGTGCTGGGGACGTCCATCTGTAGGAGGAAAGAGCAGTGACTTCTCTGCTGGTTGCTCCCTGCCTCCTATTTCTTTATGTCACCTGGCCCCTTGGGCAGCCCCTGAGGAAGCCAGCACCCCCATGGGGCCAGTGGGGTAAAGTTGCTGAGGAGGCTGTGCCAAAGGTTGGCCCCTGCCCAGGGAGGAGCCGAGACACTATGGGGAGAGGTGAGAGCTGTACGACCACAGGGGTACGGCGCACTGTTGCTGGGCCATTCCAGCTGGGAGCCAGTGCCTGGGAGCAGGTGTGGCTGAGAGGGTATGGGAAGGCCCAAAAGCTGGGTCCAGGTCACCCCCCAACCTGCTCCACTCACAGCCTTCCGCATCTCACTGATACACTGGGCAACTCCCTCCTTCCAGCGGCCAGAACCCCACAGCCACCTTGGGCTCCACCTTCAGAGTGTATCTGGTGAGGCCTCCCACTCATCCTGGGGCGAGCTTCCCTCTTGGCTGCCACAGGGGTGTCTGCCCCCCCTCCTCTCGCCCACGCCTGCCTCATTCCAGCTCAACAGCCAGAGGGACCTTTCAAAAGTCACATTTTGCTGTTCCTCTGCTCCAAACCCTCCACTATGTTCCATGGGAGCTGGGTGTTAAAACCACATCCTTGCTGGGACCTTGAGGACCTCCTGCCATGTGACCTTCCCTCACCTCTCTGATCCTCCCTTGGCTCCAGCAACTCAGCCTCCTTGGTGTTCCTGGAACACCCTGGCCCACCTTTGCCTTGGAACTGCTCCCTCTTCCTAAGGAACCAGAACCCAGATAGGAGGAAGCAGGAGACCACAGAGGGACGAGGGCAGGCCCTGTCCATCGTTGCAAATCCCAGCACAAAACACACTGAGGCCAGGTCTTTAGTCACTTCTGCAGCATTTTATTTTTGGTCTCAAGCTCCACAGAGCCTCCTCTGACAGGCCTGGGACAGCTCTGCGAGGCCATGAGCCAAACAGAAGGCACACAGCAGAGCTCAGCCCCCAGGCCTCTTTCCTGAAGTGCAAATGGCACACAGCCTCTGGGGCTACTGTCCCTGTTGTACCCCTAGCTGTCCCTAGCTACAAGATGGGGAGACAGTGGCCTGGCCCAGAGGGGCGAGACAGGGGAGCCCAGCCAGGCCCGTCACCTTCCTGTGCGGGGAAGTAGGCAGCAGGGTGTCGACTGGGTGGGAGGCCAAATCCTAAGGAAGGGACAGCCTAGGCTGCTCCTGCCTCCTTCACCTGCAGCACCATGGGGCGCGGGTTGAGGAGGAGGCCATCAGGGTGCCTGCAACGGGTACCCCCCACTTACACTCAGAACCTGAGAGGGAAAGGGCTCCACGGGTAGCGTCTGGGGACCACCCAACTGAGACAAGGCAGGCTCTGGCTCTGACACGCACTTTAATAAGCCCCACCCTCTCTGGCCAGGCCACCCACAGGCTCTGGCTGCCCTCTAGTCACAGGAGCCGTCCTTCCAGCCGTCGCGCCAACGCTCGTCCACCAGTGAGCAGTTGAAGTCCGGCTTGCCTAGCTTGCGGTTCACCTCGTTGTGCAGGCGGCATAGCCACTGGGTGAAGCAGGCCCGAGTGCGAGTGTCTGGCTGGTTCCTGCATATCCTGCGTGGGGGGGGAGCACAAGGAGGAGGAGGGCAGGCAGTGCTCCCACTGTCCCCGCCCCACCAGCTCCTTGCCTGCTCAATTCAGGGAGGAGAGCTGGGGCACTGCTGTGAACTACACCCAGAAGTGCCCTCATGCTCTGAATTCCCAGAAGGGGGCAGACCCTGCAGCAGCAAGGCCTGGTGGACTCCTAGGCCTGCTCAAACCCTCACCTCCGGAGCTTTGCAAACCCTGGCAAGAGCCCTGGGCAAGACATTGAGGCAGAGGCCTCAACTTTACAACCTAGTAACCATCAGGAATCCTCACCCCAGTGTCCTTGGCCCCAGGCAGTGTGTGGAAGGGGTGGGGTTGGCATAAAGGCAAAACTGAAAAACAGATCTGTTTCTTAGCACCTGTGGCCCTGCTGCATCAGCTCAGCAAGAGACCTTGTTCTAAATGCCCAGGCTTCAAACAGCAAGGGCTGCCCTGCCCCCTACATCCAGCCCAGAAATGCCATGGGTGCCAAACAACAGTTCTTGGTCTCCCCAGTGAAGAAAAGGTGGCTCCTGGAAGCAACAGCAGTGAGTTCCCAAGGTCTTGAAATTGGCAGTCCTGCTCCAGAAGTTAGGCAAAGTGGAGTCCTCTGAAACCTGCCAGAGCCTCCATCAGTGCTAAGCAAGGGATCTCATGAGGGAAGCCCTCCCTGGGAGCCTTGTGGCTGCAGAAAGAAGCAGTACCCAGCAGCAGCCCCAGACAGCTTGGCCTTTGAGGAGAAAGAAGATGGCTCAGATGATCCAATCCCTTCTCTGTTGGTGGTCCCTGCTCTCAGCAACCCTCTGCCACCTCTGCATCTTATTTCTCTAGGCTCCCCTTTATGACATCAGCCAGGGGCCCCAGGCCCAGGCTCCAGGTGGGATGCTCTGCTGCCTGCAGACTGTGCAGACACAACTTACCTTTTCCTTATGTCTTCAGCACACTCCTCACACGGGTAAAACTTGGAAAATAAATGTATGAACTGAGCCATATCTTGCTGCTGTTCTGGGGTGGGCAGGTCGGGATAGTAGGCCGCCAGGGTATGGAGGACAGCCCAGCTGTGGCGGCCCAGTTCCTCGCGATCCGGAGGACAATCTTCCCTAAACTTGCTGTCCCGCTGCGGAAGGAAGCCGACCAAGGGTCAGTTCGGTTTTCCCCAACCTACAAAGCTTCCCTTTTTCCCCCACCAGCCGGAGGCCCGCTGACTGGAGACACAAGTCCTGAGGCCGATCCAGCCCACATGTGGCTAAGAGCCGAAAGGCCAGGGCTACCTTGGGGGCAAGGTTTAGGAACAGCCAAACCCGGGGGTCAAAGTCTCTTAGGGCCTGTGGGAACGCTCGGCCTGGGCCTTGGGAAGTCTGCCCGGGGTGCTTGAGAACAAGGTGGGGGGGGCCGGGGCTAGGAGTCAGCAGGGCTCGCGGGCCTCTGAGGGGAGGTGACACCCCCCTGCATCTGCACCTTCTGCTGTGTCCGCATCCACGACTTGAAGTCCACGCAGGCCCGGCAGGGCAGCCTCCGGGAGGCGTCCTCGGCGACCTGAGAATCGGAGGCCGGCGCCTGCGATGGCGTCCGGGCCGAAGAGGCGGAATCTCTCCGCCCCGCGCCCCGGCCGCGCGCGTCCGTCACCAGGTCGTCCATCACCTCGGAGCGCGCGCCGCCGGGTAGAAAGGAGAATAAGTTCCCACCGCCGAAACTCCCCCGCTCGCCAGGCGTCGCCATGTTGCCCGCGCAATGCCTGCCGGGCCAGGTCGGCCTCCAGATGGGCTTCCAAGTTGGCCTCCAGGCCAGCGCGCGCGCCGCCGCCAGGGCGCGGCCACAGGAGCCGGGCGCGCGCGCCGCGGGCGCGGGCGCTGGGCCTGAGCCGGGGCCGGGGGTGGGGGCGGGGCCCGGGGAGGTATCCGGCATGGAGGCGGGGCTGGGGCCCTTGGTCTGCGCCTGGGAAGCGGCAGAGCCAGAGACAGGGGTCCGGGCTAAGGACGCGTCGGAGGCCTGGGCTGGGGTGCGCGCGGAACCGGAGGCCCGAGTCCTGGCCGCGCCCCTGGGCCTCGTTCCACGGCCCATGCCCGACCTGCGTCGTCCGTGTCTGCGCTCCAGCCTTCTCCAGTAGAAGAGCAGCGTGTTGTGGAAGACGCGCCCTGGCCGTGTCGCGGCCTCGGGCTGCGGCCTCGGCCACGTCCGTGTTACGGCCCTCGATGCCCCCATTGCTCCGCTCTGACCGTCCCGCGTGCCCACGGCTCTGTGCCCTCAGTTGGGGGAGCGCCCAGCTGGGCCGTGAGCGCACAGAGGGCGTGCTGTTGGTGCCGGGGGTCCAGGGGATCCACTTTGGCGACCGGCGCCATGACAACGGGCGCCTGGCAACGCGGGCCGGGGCCGTGCCTGCAAAGGAGGAGGTGCGTCTCTGGGCTCCCGCGAGTACCGAGCAGCCCCTCTCCCCCGCCACCCGCCCCGAATCCTACAGCCTACTTGAAGAGGTTAAACCCACGTCGGGAGTGGCCTCAGAGATACCTCTCCTTCCATATGTACATTAATTCATTCTGCAAATATTTGTGTAGTGCCTAATCTGTTCTAAGCACTGTTCTAGGCACTGGTCTGTGCAAGGAGCAAGATTTGTCCGTCCCTGACCTCCTCAGCTCATAGTCCAGTGGTCCAGACGGAAAAAACAAAACCAAACAAAAAAGAGTCACACTAATAAATGTTCAGGTACAAACTGTGATGGGGGCCATGAACAGGGCGTGGTAAATCTGGGAGGCCTCCTTGAGGAGGTGACCCTTAGGCAGTGGCCTGAAGGATGAAGAATCAACTGAGGAGGGCAGTCAAGGCCAAGGCAGGAGGGAGGAGGATCTTGGCTACTTGCATGGGCAGAAAGGCCAGTGGGACAGGACCTGGGAAGGGTGGTGGGAGGAGAGATCCAGAGGTGGCCAGGGACCCACCAAGGACATCATCAACTGCCATGGCAGCTGGGAATTTATTCTGAGGACCCTGGGAAGGTGCTGGGAAGTTTTGGGCAGGGTACCCTGGCCTGATCCCATTTCTGTTTTGCAAAGATTCCTCTGAAGAGTGGATTTCATGGGATCAAGTGAGGAGCACAGGCTTTGGGGGAGGATGGGGCTGTTGGTAGTTGTCCAGGTGAGAGATGAAGGTAGGGGGTGTCAAGAAAGAAAGAGTGGAAAGGATCTAGGTTGCTGGGGGTGTAGAGCAGGGGCTCTCAGTTGACATAGGGAGAGGCCTCAGCATCTTTCTAGGTCCCTGGCTGTGAGTAAGCTGGCCCTTCTCCCACTTCTCTCCTCTGTCTTCCAAGGGAGCAGGATCTGTCCCACCCTGTACCCTACCAGGCAAGTGGCCCCCACTGAGATTGGCAAGGTGACAGCTGGGCTGAAGGCACTTTGCAAAAATTAGGCCTATGTCCACAGGTGTTCATTGCCTGGGCCAAGACTAGGGAAGGTTTGAAGGTTTCAGAGAGAGCCACTGGTTGGACAGATACACAAAGGCCTTTTGTCAAGGCCAGAGTGGTTTCCTGGAGGGATGCCATAGAGGCTGACCCCTCCCTCAAGGGCTTGAGGTAGAGGGAGTCTCAACATAGAGCTGGTGGCTCCAACAGGGGGAAGAACCACTGTGTGCCAGGGTTGGATGGGGCTCCAAAAATCTCCCCTATAAGGAAGCAGTCCAGAGATGTGGGGCACCTGGGCACACCATCTGTCTGGGGTTTCTAGGGCCTTCCCAGTTAGTGGGGGGATGGTCACTCTTGATCTCAGAGGCTGTGTTTACAGCAAACTATGATAAATCATGAATTCAGAGATGGCTCTCAAAACAGTCCTAGTCACCACTTCCCCCATCCCCCAAGCGCCGGTGACTAGAGATGGACCCTCTTCATCCTGCCCCAAGTCTCTCCACCACAGGGGAACCTATGGGGTAAAACTGTGACGTCCGCCTCTCCCCAACACATAAAGAAAAAAACCCTGACAGTTAATATCCATTTAACACAAATTTCCTCCTCTGGGATTTGGGGACATTATGGAGACCTTTCCTCCAATGTGAGGATTAAGCCAAACAAAGCACTTAAAGCCTTTAACACTGGGTCACTGGTTCCTGATGACGACTGCAGTTAGCTCCCCAGGGAGTTCAAAGACAGAGCCAAAGGGCACACCCGGCAGGTGGCTCTGACCTATCTCAGCACTACACAGGGTGTGGGAGAGCCAGGAGGTGTGGCCAGGCCTGGCGGCACTTTGATGGCGCTTCCTTCTCCTCCTCCTCCACCCACGGCCAGACTCCAGCAGGAGGGCCTCAGGCCGCAGTCCCAGCCCCAGCCCCTCCACTCTTTCTTTGCTTCTCCTCCCACCCACGGAGCCCTGTGCTCCTGCCCCTCTACAGGCTAGGGGTGCGGTGAGGAAGCTGTGAAGGACCCAGTCACGGGCAGGGAAGTGCAGCGAGGACCTGGCAGGTCTGGGGCATCGCCAAGGAATTCCAAACAGGCCTGGGTACCCAAGGCCTCCCCTCCTCCCCATGTAGGCAGGGAGGCAGTGGGACGCTTGACCACACCCGACAGACTCCAGAAACCTGTGACGGAGATCTGGGGAAGCCACAGCGATGGCAGGCCCCCGGCACCCGGTGTCTGTGAGCGGGGCAGCTCTGGTACAGACAGACAGGCTCCAGGTCGGGACTGACGGGACCCCTGCCAGCCCCAAGGGAGAGGGAGGGAGTTCCTGGCCTAGCAACTCCAAGAAGCCCCCAACCTATTTCATCTAACAGACGTTCGCCTTTTCCGTGTGCTGGTCAGATGACAGCGACACCTTTGCACGAAGAAGCTGGGAGGAGTTCAGGAGACTCCATGTGAGTGAGTTTGGCGCCACCCTGACTTCCCCCAACTGCATGACCCACCCGTGACCACCCCGCATTGCCTGCTCTTGTGCCCACTCGGGCTTCCAGCCCCTAAGATCCTGGAAAGGGACCCCCATCCTTCCAGGGGAACAGTGGGCCCTGGGAGACCGACACACCCCTTCTCGCCCTCAGAAAACCCTCAAGGAGAGTTTTCCAGTGGAGGCGGGTCTGCTGCGGAGATCTGACCGCATTCTCCCCAAGCTTACAGGTCAGGCCAGCAGGGGCGGGGGAGGCAGCAGTCTGATGTGGGGAGCCCTGGGGTGTGTGTCTGTCAGTCCCTATCCTGCCCACAGATGCATCGTTGTTGGTGCACTGGGGCCGCACTGGCCGAGGCTTAGCACGCCTGCAGCTGCTGGAGACCTACTCAAGGGCGCTGCTGGCGGCAGGGGAGCGTGTGACCCACAGCCCGGTGCTCACTGGCTTCTTTGCACCACAACCCATGGACTTGGAGCCTGTGCTGCCAGCTGGCAGGTGCCTGACCCATCCCCAACTCTCTGTCAGCAGAAACATCTGGAATATGGGGGAGGTGGGGTGGAGGAAGGGCCAATGAGGAGGGGAGGCTCGGAGGCTGGATGGACACGTGGGGGATGTCAGGCAGCTCCCACACTTCCCACCTCTCACCTGCACCCTCACCAGCCTGGTGATCCTGCCTGCCCCGCAAGAGCCCCTGCCAGGCCCCACGGGCAGCCCTGCCATCCGCAGCCAGGAGGCTCAGAGCCTGCACTGCCTGCAGCCGTTCAGCACCCAGGACACGTGGGGCCAGCCCTTCCATGCTCAGGCCCAGGAGGCCCTAGATGTGCTGCTGCGACACCCCTCAGGTGGGCTTGGGTGGGAGTCTGGGGACACACCTTCCTGCCCCCTGGGATGCCAGTGGGCCTCAGGAACCAAGACACCCCCTGCCCTTATCTTGGGCACAGGCTGGTGGCTGGTGGCGAATGAGGACCAGCAGACAGCATGGTTTCCTGCTCCATACTTGGAAGAGGTGGCCCTGGGCCAGGGACGAGATGGGGAATGGTCCCTAGGGAGCAGTGGTGAGACTAACCCTCCTCCCCACACCCACCACCGCGGGGCTGTGTTCGGCAAAGCTGAGTCACAAGAAGCACGCAAGCCAGGGGAGTGAGGCCATGGGACAACCAGGGGGTACCAGTGGCCCTGTAGTGTGTGCTTGGTCCCCACAGTGAGCCAGAGCCCCACTGGATATTTTTTTAAATTTAATTAATTAATTAATTATTTTTGGCTGCATTGGTTCTTCGTTGCTGTGCACAGGCTTTCTCTAGTTGCAGCGAGCAGGGGCTACTCTTCCTTGTGGTGCAGAGGCTTCTCATTGCAGTGGCTTCTCTTGTTGTGGAGCATGGGCTCTAGGTGCGCGAGCTTCAGTAGTTGTGGCTCATGGGCTCTAGAGTGCAGGCTCAGGAGCTGTGGCACGTGGGCTTAGTTCCGCAGCATGTGGGATCTTCCTGGACCAGGGCTTGAACCTGTGTCCCCTGCATTGGCAGGCCAATTCGTAACCACTGTGCTACCAGGGAAGCCCCGCACTGGGTTTTAAAGCGGTCCCTGGTGTCAGCAGAGATCCAGAGGGGAGCCCGGAGGTGGTGATTCAGCCGGAGATGATGC